TAAACTCGGGGATAGGAGCCCTCACTGGGCTAAACTCGGGGATAGGAGCCCTCACTGGGCTAAACTCGGGGATAGGAGCCCTCACTGGGCTAAACTCGGGGATAGGAGCCCTCACTGGGCTAAACTCGGGGATAGGAGCCCTCACTGGGCTAAACTCGGGGATAGGAGCCCTCACTGGGCTAAACTCGGGGATAGGAGCCCTCACTGGGCTAAACTCGGGACAGGAGCCCTCCGTGGGCTAAACTCGGGAACAGGAGCCCTCCGTGGGCTAAACTCTGGAACAGGAGCCCTCCGTGGGCTAAACGCTTCTCTAGAAGCAACAGGAGAAGCAAGCGGCTTGGGAATGGCCTCCGTGGCCATGACAAGAGAAGCTGCCTGCCCCAGACGAGCCTCCATGGACAAGACAAGACCAACTGGACTGAGGATTGGCTGGCAGACTTGACTGATGAGCAGCCGGCGGACTCGCAGTACTCGCGGTGATCCCGCAGAATTACCACGCTTACTCCATGAAGGGGAGATCTCAGTGGGCTAAGGCGGAAAAACGAGTGGCGACTTCCATGCCGCGGGAAAAACAAGAAAACAAAAGACTTTCAAAACCGAAAAAAACGAGGAGAAGGGGCGCCGCTTACTGTATTGGTCTGGTATTCTGTCACGGTTGCCTTCTCTGGCAAAACGAAGAACATGGAGATGAGGAAAAACTCAAAATAAACAGTATTTAATCCATAATCAAAAAGGGGTAACACAAGGTAGGGAACACAAGGCAGGCAAAGACACACAAGAACCACAACATTGACGTTAATACCAGATTCTAGATACAGGAAAACACAGGGCTTAAATACTCAAACTAAATGAGATAATTAACAAACACAGGTGGATACTAATGAACTAATAATGAAACAATGAGGACAGGAACAGGAACATAACCAAATATGGGCATAAGGAAACACATGAGGAGCAAAACACACACAAAACACGGAACAGAGTCTGGCAATACATTTACATTTACATTTAGTCATTTAGCAGACGCTTTTATCCAAAGTGACTTACAAATGAGGACATTGCCAGTCTTAGGGCTTCAACAACTGAAAGCAAGGCAGTCTCGGTCGAATGTCCACTTCTGAAGCCAGATTGGTTGCTGTCCAGGAGGTTGTTCTGTGTGAGAAAGGCTGAGACTTGGTTGAATACAACTCGTTCAAGTGTTTTTGCAATGAAAGGTAGAAGGGAAACCGGTCTGTAGTTCTCTAAAAGAGTTGGGTTAAGAGTGGGTTTCTTAAGAAGTTGGGTTATAGGAGCCTGTTTAAATGTTGAGGGAAAAACACCAGTGTGAAGGGATGTGTTAATGATGTGAGTGAGTGCAGGTACAACTGCAGGAGAAATGGCTTGAAGGAGATGAGATGGAATAGGATCAAGCGGACAAGTAGTAGGATGATTGGAAAGGATGAGTTTAGAGACTTCTGCCTCAGAGAGTGGAGAGAAGGATGAAAACGAGTGTATGTTTGCTGGTAAGATGTGTTTGACAGTTTGTGGTGTGGCAAATTGTGCACTGGGGTTTGTAATTTTATTAATGAAGAATGTGGCAAAGTCGTCAGCTGTTAGAGTTGATGAAGGAGGGGGAGGAGGAGGATAAAGGAGGGAGGAAAATGTTTTAAAGAGCATGCGAGAGTTAGGCGAATTGTTAATTTTGTTGTGATAGTACGTCCTTTTAGCAGTGGAGATATTAGCAGAGAATGAAGAGAGGAGTGATCGATATACATTAAGGTCAGTAGGATTTTGTGATTTGCGCCATACTCTTTCTGCAGCTCTGAGCTTAGAACGATACTCACGGAGAACATCAGATAGCCAAGGGGCAGAAGAGGTGGTACGAGCTGGCCTGGAAGACAAGGGGCAGACAGTGTCTAAACAAGATGTAAGAGTGGAGCAGAAAGTTTCAGTAGCACTGTTAGCATCAAGAGATGATAACTGTTCAGGGGAAGGAAGCAAAGATGAAACCATAGCAGATAGCCGGGAGGGTGAGAGTGAGCGTAGGTTACGTCGAAAAGTGACATGTGTAGGGGTATGTGTTGTGTCAGGAACCATGTTGAGGTTAAGAGTGAGGAGGAAGTGATCCGAGGTGTGCAGTGGATTAACCAGCACATGATCAGTGGAGCAGTGTCGTGTGTAAATAAGGTCCAGTTGGTTGCCTGATAGTAGTAATAGTGCAATAGTATTATAATAATATATAATAATATTAAAGTTATTTAAATTAAAGAATTAAATTCATTCAATTAAAGACTTTTACATCATGATAGTATTTATTTGTTTGTTTGTTCTTTGCTGTGTTTTATTGCATTTATGCTAATTTAAATAAAACAATTTAAGTAAAACAAATACTGTATTTCAGTAAAGATAATCAAATGAGAATCACCATTACAAATAATAGTAATTACTAAAATAAAATAAACTTACAAGTAGTGTCCAGATACATTATGGTAAGAAGAGAACAAGATTTTACTGCATCACAGTAAGGAGAATTTTGTGAAAATGTTTTTTTTTTTTTTTCTGAAACGTTATCTGGGTTTTAAAGCAGGATTTGTTTCTTTAGGTCAGTGATGTACTGCATTGTTGAAGACCTGACAGTGCTGTGATAAGTGGCAGAACGAGAGATGAATGTGTGGGTGGGACTGATGGGAGGGACATTGTTAGTTTAGTTTTCTTTTGGTCGTCACTCCTCACATCGCCCTCTATTTATCTGCCTTTCTCTTTTTTTTTATCTGCTTCCCTCTTTCTCTTGGCCTCCCTCTGACTGTGACGGAGGCATTTATTGCAGTCGGGGTCACGTTGAGTGGCTTTTAGAGTGTGTGTATGAGTGAGTTACTGAGGAAGCAAAAGATAAAGGCAGAATCAGAAGACACATGTCAAACTCTGACTAACAACAGCCTGAAGACTCCCCTCGTCAAAGAACAAGACAGCCCCCTGTTTTAACACAATGACGGAAATTGTTTCAATGTGGGTTAACCTCCTACACACAAAGACACTATGCTTTTCTTGGACAGTTGTTTTGCATTTGATTTATTGAGCAGTGTGTGTCAGTGCTGTCATGGGGGGCTGTCAGTTTGGCTAGAAACATTGAACATGAAAGATGTACTTAGTGACATTCAGAACAGTAGCAATACAATAAAATAAAATAAAATAAAAATCAGTTTGGTATTTCTCATAAATAACAAATATTTATAACTATATAAATATCTTCAGTCTTCATTAGAATAACATCTTTTCCCAGATCTAATTCTTCTTTTTCTCTATTGACAGAGTATAAACGTGTGTCAGATGCCTCGATAGCAGCGGAAAACTACCGCTGCTGGCCGTCCTATCAGCATGACGGATGCCTGCTGTCAGTCTTCAGCGTCGATGAAGCTATTGACGTGTGTGAGAGCCATGCCCAATGCCGGGCCTTCATTATGACCAATCAGAGCACATGGACAGGTAATGTTGCACAGTGTCGCTCGGTTTCTATATGTGACCCTGGACCACAAAACCAGTCATAAGGGTCAATTTTTTGAAACTGAGTTTTATACATCAGCAATAAATAAGCTTTCCATTAATGTATAGTTTGTTGACAATATTTGGCCGAGATACAACTATTTGAAAATCTGAATTTCTAAATGTTGAGAAAATCGCCTTTAAAGTTGTCCAAATGAAGTTCTTTGCAATGCATATTACTAATCAAAAATTAAAGGGGTCATATGACATTGCTAAAAATAACATTATTTTGTGTATTTGGTGTAATGCAATGTGTTTATGCAGTTTAAGGTTCAAATCCCTTACCATACTGTGATGCTGTGTCCCGGCGAGATGAGACAAAACCAATAAAACCCATTAAAAACTAGGCATTTGTTGCATCCAGTGGGGACATAATTACTGAATATAATGACTTACACTTCTTTTTACGCATTGCATTGCATATCGCGCCACGTAAACATAAAACCATGTCTGCATTTGTGATCTGAGAAATGACAAACAACAAGCGCTACTCTACACTGCTCAAAACTCGCGTTGGAATAGTCAGTGGCAAATTATTTAAATATGAAAACATACTTACAGGCTGTGAGTCAGAAGTGCCAGACTGTCCTTGCAAAGTTAACTTTACTTAATATCCTAATAATTTTTGGCATAAAAGAAAAATCTATAATTTTGAACCATACAATGTATTTTTGGCTATTGCTACAAATACACCCATGCTACTTATGACTGGTTTTGTGGTCCAGTGTCACATATGTGTAGGACAGCTCAGTACATTATACGTCAAGTAACTTTCAAATCATTAATTTACATTTGTTAATTTAGCAGTTGCTTTTGTCCAAAGTGACATAGAAATAAGGAATGCAAAAAAGCTGTTCATCCTAAAGCAGCAATAATGTGTTAATACAGAGTTTAAAAACTTGGCTGCATCTGAAATCGCATACTTTTTGAGTAGGTACTTCTTTTTAATAAGTAATTACTTTGTAACTACAAAAAAATTATATTCTATATCCTGACCCTATTTACTATGGTAGCGCCATAGACTGTAAAAAAAAGATGTACAATGCGTCTCCACTTCCGTTCACTATAGAAAAGTGAAGCCAAAATATCCCAGTATGGCTGCTGTCATCTTGTGCAGACAAGACTGTTCAGCAGTGATTAATTTGGAGCGCAAGTCTGTACGGTAGTGATTCATTTGGAGTCCGAGTCTGCGCAGAAGTGGTTAATTTGGAGCCAGAGTCTGCGCAGTAGTGATTATCAGCTGGAGCCAGGGTGTCAAAGTCCCGTCCAAACTCCCACAGACCCGATCACAAGCTCACAATCATGACACCACACCCCGTTTTTATAGCATCAGATAACTAACTAAAAGCGAAGTTATTAGAAAAAGCCAACACTTGAACATAGATTGTCGTGTTAAAGGCAGAGTAAGTGATTTCTGGTAGCCAATGTTGATATTTGAAATCACCAAAACAAACACGCCCCTACCCCAAAAGGGTCTTGCCCCTATTTTGATAGCTCCGCCCCACATATACGTACGCAACCCAGGCAACGATTAGTTCTGTGAAACAAAGCAAAACCAATGTTACACCATGTCTACGGACGTGAGCGGCGCGGCGCAACAAATCCCGACAGAAAACTGCTGCCGGGTTCTATTTATGACGTGCTGACACACATTTCAAATGGTTTTCAACGGTCGTTTGATCGCGTCCAGTGTAGGCAGACTTTAGCTGTTGTAGACACGGTGTTACTCACCTATTGAGAAGAAACAAAGCAACCTCGGCGTCCGATCGCAGGCCTCCGCTCCTTGAGTTCTCTCCAGCGCTGGAAAGCTGATCCGATATTTACACGGGTCCTACTTCTTGCCTTATCGTTCCGCAGACGTTTTACTCTTTTGTTTTTTATCCGCCATCTCTATCTTTCTGTCGCTCGGCTCGGCTAATGTCCGTCCCATGCACTGAACGCGCTCTCCTCCACATCACGAGTAGACACGCCCCTTATTGCTGATTGGCTACAAGTTTGTTTTGCGATTCGGCCCGAATCAGTTTTCTAAAGCGTTTTTGAAAAACCACATACCCTGCCTTTAAGAACCCTCTAAAATGACGCAAACCATTTATTTGAGGGAAAATATAAGGGAAAATTTTATATAAAGTACAATTAGATATTTTTAGTTTGGCTCATGTCCCATTCATTTACATGGAGAGGGCGGGGTTTATGACCTAGACTGCAGCCAGCCACCAGATGGCGATCAAAATGTTTTGGCTTCACTTTTTTAGTACTTGTGAGGCACACTTGGTTAGCGCACACTACTAGTCTTCTGGTGATCAATTAATCAGGGGTGCATTTCCCAAACGCATTGTTACCCAATTATGGGCGCAAGTTCTGTTGAACTCTATTGTTAATGACAGAATTTGTGACCATAGTAACTTTTGGGAAACGCACCCCTGGACCGTTATAACAGATGGGTAATCCAGAGAAAAAACTCTGAAATACTCAGAAATACATCACAATACTAAAGTAAAGTCGGTCGCAACTTCTGGTTTATGTTGAGTTTAATGTTTAATATGCTACCATGTGTGGACTTGCTAACATCAAACGATAAAATGCAATTGTGTATTGAGTTGACACTATTTATATGTTGCATAGAGTTGCTGCCTATGTAGAGTGTTTCAAACCGGTCACTTGTGAGGATCCATTTCAGGTTTAGGTCATATTTAGGTCAAAACTGTCAGTTGTTTGTGAACTAAATCTGCTGTAAAGGGTGATCTATTTAAGCCCACTGAAATGCTTGAATGCAGACACATCAACATCAGTGTCTCTGTTTTAGGTAAAAAAAAAAAACGAAAAATTAAAATAACACAGATTAAAATAACTCATGCACGTTCATATTCCCCGCTGCCGTAACGTTAACAGTTTTATTAAAATGCTACGCATTTAGGCTTATGTGACGTCTGTTTTTATATTGTTTATCAACAGTATCAATTTTTATATTGTTTGGATTAACTAGCCGAGTAGACAGATATGAATGTTTATTCATCATAACCATACTGAAAATAAGTAAATATTGTTAGCTGATGCTAACTGTCTAGCTAACAAGCTTGCTGGTGCTAAGTTGAGGTAATTTTTAGATATAAAGTCCAAATATTTTTATTCAACCACCTAAAAAGGGAATTGATTCCAAATGCTCACTTAGACCGGTCTAAACAAGTAATTTATTGGTTTAACAAATGAAAATGCCTCTTCCAAATTTTTAAATCATTTTTAAAGAGTTTGCTGAAACACACACACAGATCAGCATCAAATCTGGAAATTTATTTCAAAAATAAAAGTTTTTCCCCCCCTTTTTTTGGTATTGTCATGAAAGCTTTTCATGTTTGTTTTGATTTTTTGTTATTATTTTCAATGGCAGAATGTAATGAAACATTTGAGAGGTTAGTTGTGGTACGTCATTGTTAGATGGTGGTGGATGGTGGTTTGTCAGCTAATCCGCTTGTGGTGTGATAAAGTTTCCCAAGGAAATGTCATGTCAATCTATTACTTGACAGGTGAAGGAGTTCAAGAGTTTTCTGCTTTCAGCGAAAGCACTGAGATGTACATGTACATGTTTTCTAATGAGTCTTATGGTTGTGTTGTATATGAGAGTGATATTTTTATATTGAAATATAAAGTTCTCCCCTTTTTTTTGGTCTTGTCATGAAAGCTTTTCATGTTTGTTTAGATTTTTTGTTTTTATTTTCAATGGCAGAATGTAATGAAACATTTGAGAGGTTAGTTGTGGTACGTCATTGTTAGATGGTGGTGGATGGTGGTTTGTCAGCTAATCCCCTTGTGGTGTGATAAAGTTTCCCAAGGAAATGTCATGTCAATCTATTACTTGACAGGTGAAGGAGTTCAAGAGTTTTCTGCTTTCAGGGAAAGCACTGAGATGTACATGTACATGTTTTCTAATCAGTCTTATGGTTGTGTTGTATATGAGAGTGATATTTTTATATTGAAATATAAAGTCATGAGACTTCAAAATGTGTCCTGGTCATTTTTGTGAGTGATTAACATTTTCAAGGTCAGGGTTGCATTATAAATAGACCTCTGGCAGAAAAATATTAAAGGGGTTATATAAACTTTTTTTCACTTTAATCACTTTAACACTTTATTTCGATAGTCCACTTTAGACATTCTATTAACTATAAGTAACTTTGTAACTACATGTCAACTTCAAGAGTTTTCTGCTTTCAGGGAAAGCACTGAGATGTACATGTACATGTTTTCTAATGAGTCTTATGGTTGTGTTGTATATGAGAGTGATATTTTTATATTGAAATATAAAGTCATGAGACTTCAAAATGTGTCCTGGTCATTTTTGTGAGTGATTAACATTTTCAAGGTCAGGGTTGCATTATAAATAGACCTCTGGCAGAAAAATATTAAAGGGGTTATATAAAATTTTGGTTACACTTTATTTCGATAGTCCACTTTAGATATTCTATTAACTATAAGTAACTTTGTAACTACATGTCAACTACATGTCAACTAATTCTCATTAATTTGTTTTTTTCCAATACTATGGAAGTCAATGGCTACGCCAACTCTTTGGTTACCAACGTTTTTCAAAATGTATTCTTTTGTGTTCAGCGGAATAAAGAAACCCTTACAGGTTTGGAACAACTTAAGGTGAGTAAATAATGACAGAATTTTAACTTTTGGGTGAACTTTCCCTTTAAAGGAGTCATATCATCTTGTATTATTGTATTTTCCCACTTATTTTGTTGTTTTGCACCAGTAACAGTCATAAATGAGTTTTTATGACCATTTTTCCACCCTTTCTCTGACCTTCAGAATTAATCAGGCTGTTTTGCTATTTTGCAATTTAGACCTATATGTAAGTGCCTTCTTCATGTGTTCAAGAAATAAAAGCCCTTATAAGGCATGGTTAAATGAATATGAAAACCATAAAAGTATCATAAAAATATAATAAATGTAGTCCATGCAAGTTTGTGCACTATATTATAGAACTTTATTATATGTGTGCAATGTCCTTTCAAAGACATTCAGATATTCATTAGTTGACCAAACAGTTGTTGGTAGCCATTGACTTCCATAGTTTTTTTTTTTCCAATACTATGGAAGTCAATGGCTACGCCAACTCTTTGGTTACCAACGTTTTTCAAAATGTATGTTCAGCGGAATAAAGAAACCCTTACAGGTTTGGAACAACTTAAGGGTGAGTAAATAATGACAGAATTTTAACTTTTGGGTGAACTTTCCCTTTAAAGGAGTCTTATCAGCTTGTATTATTGTATTTTCCCACTTATTTTGTTGTTTTGCACCAGTAACAGTCATAAATGAGTTTTTATGACAATTTTTCCACCCTTTCTCTGACCTTCAGAATTAATCAGGCTGTTTTGCTATTTTGCAATTTAGACCTTTATGTAAGTGCCTTCTTCATGTGTTCAAGAAATAAAAGCCCTTATGAGGCATGGTTAAATGAATATGAAAACCATAAAAGTATCATAAAAATATAATAAATGTAGTCCATGCAAGTTTGTGCACTATATTATAGAACTTTATTATATGTGTGCAATGTCCTTTCAAAGACATTCAGATATGCAAATAATGTACATTATGTGGAAAATAATGTGTTTTTTGAACCTTAAACAGCATAAACACATTTCATTACACCAAATACACAAAATAATGTTCTTTTTAGCAGCATCATATGACCCCTTTAAAGCAACTGAAGTTTTTTACCTTGAAGTTTCAAGATCATTCTGATGGTATGCTGACTTCTAAATTGGTGAATGGCTTCTGTTTCTTTCCCAATTAATTATTTTACCTGCCTAACAAAATGAAGAAACGTGGGCATTACTACTCACAATTATCTCCGTTATTAAATATTTCCAGCTTGTGTTTGCCGTACCAATGTTTATGCTCATGTTTATGCTTGTTTATGCAAACACTGCTGATTCAGGGATTCCTGAACTTTTTTGTCAGCCAACATACATTTTTGGGAAACCCTGGTGAAATGTAATGTTTAATGCATTTCATGGACATAAAATTACTAACTATACTAACTACTAACTACAATTTTCATCATGTAATTTGTAATCAGTAATGGACCACAGTTTTCAAGTAATCGACCCAGCACTCTACATCCAGTATTGTTTTAATATCATTGATATACTATTATAGTTTTTTTACATAAATAGATTTTATTTTAATATTTTCTGTTTACATTTTAATTTTTGCTGTGTATTTTTGTCATTTTTTATGTTTAATATGTATATATAGTTTTATTTTGGATTAGTTTTATTCAGTGGCGGAAACAGGCTTCCATAAGGTTTATTTATTTATTTATTTATTTATTTATTTCACATTATGAATTATGCAATTTGTAATTATGTAAAAATATATATATTTTATATATAACAGTATTAACCCTGAGTACAGTACATCAAAACATTTCAAAACTTCAAAATGTTCTTTTTTTAAGATGCGGACCCTGTAAAGAAACATGAAATGTTGCTCTTAAGTATAACAGCAGGTTTGTGGTGCAGCTTTGAGTTTTTGTCTCAGTCATGTGCATTCAGAAGTTTGACTTAGCAGAGTCGGAGAAAAGCAGGTCAACGTGATTGAGCAGGAATGCGAGAGGAATGCAGACACAGTGGTCATCACAGCATGAAAGTAACGCGGGGGGATGAGAGAGAGAAACAGAGAGGGAGGGAAAGTAATACAACGATAAAGGTATTTTAGGAGGCACGGACAGTGAGCTTCTGTTGAATGGACATACACGAGAGACGGCCAGATGGGAAGAGCTCCAAATGGGAAAATGGACACACACACACACAGCTTTGCCATGTTATCCAGTTTTACCCGTGTCTAAAAGGGAACCAGCCGATATGGGCGGCAATACAAGTGAAAGTGAAGTGGAGGACAGTGTATTAAATCTGTCACTCACACACACACAGCCTGCTGAGGTTGTCCAGAGGTCATCTGGCTGCCTACCAGACCTCATGACTCTCCTTCCATCACAGCAGAGAGAGAGAAGAAAGAGAGTTTGTCATTCCATATGTAAAAAGGTTTCTTTAACATCTCAATTATGGAGCAAATGGAGAAAATTGCTCAAACGTGGAGTTTGTGCATAAGACATACATAAGACCATTGGTTGAATAAGTGCTGATGTTGTGTTCAGCTGGTTGAATACTCAAACAAAGTTTATGAATGAGTGTATGGTTTACTTAAAGTTGTTTCAACATTGGAGGTAGAGTTTATCCAAAAATACAAATTTTGGCATCAGTTTTTCATCCTCATCTCATTCCAAACCCATAAGACTTTCATTTATCTTTGAAACACAAGTGAAGATATTTCAGGTAAGATTGTTTGAACTTCCATTTGCCATATTTGATGAGCTCTACATATGTACATTGATAAACTGTTTTGATGTGAATAAAAGCCTAAATTAAATCTGTTCATCTTATGAAGTGGCCATGCCTCTTCAGAAGACATGGATTAAACTGCTCAAATCGTATGGACTACTTTTACTATGTTTTAATTGACCTTTTGAAACATCACAATTTTGGTTGCCTGAGCTCAAGGGAGGAACAGAAATCTCTCAGGTTTTATTAAAACGATTTCCATTCATATTTTGAAGATAAATGAAAGTCTTATGGGTTTGGAACAATGTGAGGGTGAGTAAATGAATACAAACTGTTTGGGGGATGTACCAATTCGAGCCCATTCAGACCCCAATAATGTTTATGAACAAAAGGATCATGCAGAACCTTTGCAAACACAGATTTTACAGGATGTTTCAGAGTGGTATGTTTTTGTTGCAATTTTCTTATACATTTTAGATACAATGTTCCCTATCAATACTTCACTTGTACTGCATCTGCTAAGACGCTATGGGGGAAAACTCCTCTTTCTCTGATGACTGAATCCTGTAACACGTTAGAATACTGCTCCATCATTAATAAATAACTACACAAGAACACAATATTAGCACTCTAGTAACTACTAGTATCTAACAAGAAACGCTGATTAATGAATTCGTAAGTAATAGTGCTTAGTCAACTGTGGTAGTTCACTTTTAGCTAATCAGTAACTACTATTTTTTTTTTCATAAACACCCAAGAACTACTAAGAATCACTGTATGCAGGTTCATAATTAATATGAATAATACATAATGTATAATTAATTCTAAAGTGAAGGTCATGGTAACCCACTAGTCATGGCTCAAGCATTACCAACTTCTTCAGAAGGAATTACTAATTATTTGGCTCAGTATTCTAAAGTGAAGATCGTGATAACTCCCTTGTAATGACTGCAATCGTAAGCTTTTGATGGTTTTGTAAAGTATTGGATAGTAATTATTCAGGTGTTACTACATCCTTTTAAAGGAATTACTCATTTTTTGGATCAGTATTCTAAAGTTAAGATCATGATAACTACCTAGTAATTACTGAAGTTGTTGTAAAATTTTGGGTTTTTTGTAAGGTTCTTGTTAGTAATTAATTTTGCTAGATTTGGTAACATTTAAATAATTTCTAGTGGGTTACCGTGATCTTCACTTTAGAATACGGATCCAAATAATTAGTAATTCCTTTAGAAGGATGCAGTAACACTTGAGTCATTACTATCCAAAACCTTACATACAGTATATCTCAAAAACTTACAATGATGACAGCCAATATTAGGGAGTTATCATGCTTTTCACTTTAGAATACTTAGCCAAGTAATTAATATTTCCTTTAGAAGAATTTGGTAATACTTGAGTCATTACTAGTGGGTTACCATGATCTTTACTTTAGAATTAATTATACATTATGCATAATTCATATTAATTATGAACCTGTATACAGTAGTTCTTAGTAGTTCTCCAGGATATATGAAAAAATAGCAGTTATTGATTAGCTAATAGTGAACTACCAGTTTCACCTGAGCGCTATTACTTACTAAATCATTAATCAGAGTTACTTGTTAGTTAATAGTAGTTACTAGAATGTTAATAGCGCATTAGTCATTTGTTCCTGTGTAGTTATTCATTAACGATGGAACAGTATTCTAAAGTGTTACCCTGAATCCTTTTCAATAGCAGAGTGTAACTGCATGGCCATTGGTTCCGTGCAGTGAATTAAAAACGAACCAATGGCTTGGCAGCGGAGCGGACGACTGCAAGATCTTCGCTCTACGAGACTCGAAGCCTTCAGCGTGAACAAGCATCGCTGAACGCTTCACCGCCGCGCAGAAGTTGTCCCAGGCAATGCGACATTTCTTGCCAAAGCGCTCCAGTTCTGCAGCTGCTTCCAGTCGCCCCAAGATGGCGCAGACTCAGCAGCCTGCGAAGCCCACACCTCCAGCGCCACCAGCTTCTAAGCCTGAGCCCCGTCATCTCTCACGCTCAGCCAGATGCTACCCATTCCCTAAACGCCAGGGACCCTGGCCCAAGATAGCGCTGGACCCAGTGCCTCAGGCGTCATCCTGATCTGCGGGACAGTAAGAGGAAGGGGCCAAATCTCGCAATGGCCGGACCACCCCACAAGCAGCCTCTGTTGTGCCTCCAAGCACCCCGTTCAGTTCTGGGTGCCGACGGCAATGTGTTTGTGATAAATACTGTTGTGAACACTGGGCCCGTTCAAATAGCGGCCACACAACCGATCGCTGTTATAGCGAGAAAAATAAAACACAAACATTTTCAAAAAGAGAGCAAATTTCCTCTTCCACTTATTATGAGTGTCAAGTCCCCTCACGGCGACCCACCACCCGAACTAATTCGACCCCTAGCCACACGGGCCGAGGCCTGGCAGGCCATCCCCGGAGTGTCAGATTGGGTTTTGGGGATTATAAAACAAGGCTACTCACTTCAGTTCGCTCGAAGACCCCCACGATTCAGCCCGTGGTCCCCACCTTAGTGCAGAGCATGGACGCTCACGTCCTGCACTCCAAGGTGATGAATTTACTGGCAAAAGGAGCTGTAGAGATGGTTCCGCCAGCTCAGAGTGAGTCAGGCTACTACAGCTGTTACTTCCTCGTCCCCAAAAAGGATGGCAGCCTAAGGCCCATCCTCAATCTCAGGCACCGGAATCGCGCCCTCATGAGACGGCCGTTCAGGATGATTACTTTGAAACAGATCCTCTCGCAAGTATGCCCAGGGGACTGGTTCTTTTCGCTGGATCTGAAAGACGCCTACTTTCACATCCACATAGCCCCCCCACCACAGACGATTCTTGAGATTTGCCTTCAAGGACGTGGCATATCAACACACGGTCCTCCCCTTCGGACTGTCCTTAGCTCCTCGCACTTTTACAAAAAGCATGGATTCCCCACTGAGACAGATGGGAATCCACATTCTGAATTACCTTGAGCTGCGTAGCAGCTCTGGCCCCCTGGAAAGACCCTCAGTGGATGGATTGGGGCGTTCCCCTGGGAATGGTCTGCAGAAGGAAGGTGTTCTCGATAGACGCTTCTAAAACAGGTTGGGGAGTGCTGTGCGATGGCAAACCGGCTATTGGCCACTGGTCGAAAGAGGAGGGTCGGTTTCACACCTTCACACCTTTCTGCCGGACCTAAGGGGACACCACGTTTTAGTCCACTCGAACAGCATGATGGTGGTGTCCTATATAAATCGCCAGGGCGGTCTCTCCTCGAAGTGCCTCTTTATTCTGTTTGAGCGCCTCTTGTAATGAGCTCAACTTGTGTTCACTGAGAGACGCGCATGTGCCGGGCAGGTTGAACCGAGGAGCAGACATGCTATCTCGGAGCAATGTCCCCTCAGATGAGTGGATGCTTCACCCACACATGGTTTAAAGAATCTGGGAGATCTTCGGCAAGGCAGAGGTCGACCTCTTCGCCTCCGAAGACAACTCTCATTGCCCAACTTATTTTTTCGAAGGACAGGGATGTGCTGGCCCACGACTGGCCCAACCTCCTCCTTTACGCTTTCCCCCGATCGCCCTGATCCCGCGGATAATCAGGTGAATCAGGGAACAGAAACACAAGGTTCTGTTAGTGGCCCCGCTCTGGAGGAACCAACACTGGTTCGCAGAGCTGTCTCGGCTGCTCTCGGCAGCCCCATGGCCCATTCCCCTAAGACAGGACTTCCTCTTATAGGCGAACAGATCGATATGGCACCCCCAGCCCGAGCTGTGGGCTCTGCACCTTTTGCCTCTAGACGGGAGCCTGCGGACCTCGCCGAGAGCATTCTGAATACAATCTCTCAGGCTAGAGCACCATCTACGAGACGACTCTATGCCCTTAAATGGTCTGTCTTCTCCGCCTGGTGTACAGCCCGCGGCGCAGACCCAATTTCCTGTGACATATTTCTGATATTGTCCTTCCTGCAAGAGCGGTTTGATAAGGGTCATTCCCCTTCCACGCTCAAGGTCTATGTAGCAGCCATAGCAGCCTCTCACGCTCCTATAGTTGGCCAATCGGTGGGCAGAAACAACCTAGTTGTTCATTTTTTTAAGGGTCGCCCCATCACCGTCCCTACATGGGATCTGCCCACGTGTGTTGAGGGCTCCTTTTGAGCTGCTACAGTCCATTGACCTTCGTTCCCTGACGCTAAAAAACATTCTGTTACTAGCGTTAGCATCGGTAAAGCATATGGGAGATCTGCAGGCGCTCTTTGTGAGCCCCTCTTGCCTTGAATTTGGGCCCAGCGCCTCTAAAGTCATCCTGAAGCCAAGGCGTTACATACCTAAAGTGCCCTCGACTCCGTTCAGAGCGCAGGTAATAACTCTATCCTTCGGAGCAAGACCAAGAGTTGAATTTACTCTGCCCCGTCAGGCCGTTGAGAGTTTATATTGAGCGTTCCGCCCCTTTCAGGCAGTCGGAACAGCTCTTTGTATGCTTCGGCGGCCGCACCAAGGGGTCTCCGGTCTCGAAGCAGAGAATTTCCAAATGGATAATTGACTCTACTGCGATAGCATACTCTTCTTTGGGCCTACAATGCCCCATGGGAGTAAGAGCTCACTCAACTAGAGGTGTCGCCTCTTCCTGGGCTTGGTCTAGCGGTGTGTCCATTGCAGAGATTTGTGCTGGGCCTCGCCGTCCACATTTGCCAGGTTTTATAATCTGGACGTCCTGGCCTTACAGGCCCGGGTCCTTTCTGCATAGACGGGCTCAGACTTGTCATATGACAAACCAGTATTTTGGTGTTTGCCTTCTTCTTGTACGCTCTTTGCCCTCACTGAGTTTCGAGGCTGTACAAAATTATCTTGGGACGATTACTCAAGGCCGGACTGACCCCTGTAGTTTGACCCTATTGCCTCCTGCAGGGCTTCCCTGCACAATACTTGGTCCCTCTGGGTCCCTTTTGGTGCTTAAGGCAAGTTCAAGTATTAGTCGTTCCTCTAGCATAGCACGGCGGGATTGTACTGGTTCCCCCATAGCGTCTTAGCAGATGCAGTACAAGTGAAGTATTGATAGAGAATGTACTCGGTTACTAACGTAACCTCAGTTCCCTGAGATACGGGAACGAGTACTGCATTACTGGCCGTGCTATGTTGCTGCACGACTCAGTCGAAGTAACCTGAGGATCCTATGGCAAAATGCCCGCTTATATAGCCAGATGGCCCCGCCCATACTGGCGGGCTTCGATGCCATAGGCTCATGCAGCTCCGCTGACGAGCCATTGGTTCGTTTTTAATTCACTGAACGAACCAATGGCCGTGCAGTTACACTGTGTTATTGAAAAGGCTTCAGTCATCGGAGAAAAAGGAGTTTCCCCATAGCGTTGTACTCGTTCCCGTATCTCAGGGAACCGAGGTTACGTTAGTGACCGAGTACGTTATACGCTATTTAATAGTAACCTGCAGTTACTGTATGTAGGAAATGGGCAAAAGTGAAGTATTGTTTAATTACAACAGTATTACATAAACTGTAGTAAAACTGTTATAAAGCTGCAGGAGAAGCTTTTGTGTGTAGCTGGCATTGCACTCTCTTAGGTTCTGCAAGCTGGCCTCCATAAAATGTGCAGCACACAGATAAAGGTTGGGTTTATGATGTTGAAGAACAGTGTTAATAAGTTTGCATGCCTTAGGAAGGCCAAACAAAGGGGTTTTGGAACCGGGGTGGGAAGTTTCTTTGACAACACGCTACTAAAGCAGCTCTTCTTTTTCATTTTTATCTATTTCGTGGGCGGGAATTATTTAAATGAGTGACAGAAGAAGGGTTTTGTAATCTGAACAAGCCGTTTGTTGTAGTTCTTGAAAAGGGTTTTCTGTGAAAGAGAATATCTCCTTTTAGAGTGGACTTTGAGATCTTTATTATGCTCAAACAGCAACATTACACACTAACTAATGTTGAAACCCCTTTAACATCAAACACATTATATAGTTTCTCTGTTTTAGTTCTCATACAAAAGACACCCCATCTAATGTGTCTTCTCAGAATTTCAGATTAAGAGCTCAACAATTTCTCAAACTAAGCTCAGATTTCAAACAAAAGTATGCAGTCATAAGAAAAATTTTCATTATAATCTTTTATAATGAAACATTTTGCATTAATATCATCCAAGAACAAATTATCTGAGCTATGTAGCCACATTATATTTTTGTAGTTCTATACTCTATTGACACATTTATAACATTTGACTCATTTGTTACTGTATTTATCTCTCACAAGGAATTTTGGAAGAATCATGTGAGACAAAGTTGATACTTAAATGAAGCCATGGAGGACATTTGCATTTATGTATTTGGAAGACGCTTATATCCAAAGTATTTTACAGAGCATTCAAAGTATTTATCAGTATGTGTGTTCCCTGGAAACCAAACCCATGGCAGTGCTAATGACCTCTGAGCAATAAAATGTTCCTCTGAGAGAGAGGAAAAGATGAATGCATGCTGAGTGGTTTAAAAAAGTAAGAAATATACAGCATTTTAAACTGCTTATGTCATATTTAATGCTGTGCTTCATCATTTTAGTAGTTGGGTTAAGTTTCAAACGCTCTGAATGCAGAACAGTAGCAGATTTCATTAAGCTAAATGAAACTATGGGTTAAACGAAACTGATACACCTAAAATTGCATTGCCCATGAAAATGGGAATAATTTCAGGAAAGACCTTTATGTTGGCACAAAACAAAAGGAAATAGAAAGCAAGACCGACGCTGTCATAAGGATGAATTCACTGAAGCCATGAGGAAATCATGTTTGAGATTACAAATAAAAGCTTGTTTGTGGAAAACCAGCATGTGTATGTACTGAGCAGTGCTAGAGTCTACTGCGTTTTCTTTTGTTTCTCAGGTTTGAGTTTCATTTATTCGATGACATCTGGCTTCCTGTTAGATACTAGTGCAGAGGGCTCAGACTTTGATTTGGGTGAGTGCATCTACACAAGGAGCAATCAGGGCATTGTGAGGGTACAGCGGGCACAGCATCACACTCACTGCCAGTGCATATGCCACCCAGGTGCAGGTTATCTGAGGCTAGTCGACCCTTTAAGGTGAGTGAATTCTAAACTGAATTGACTTCCCTGTGAC